ACAACAAAAACATTGTGTTAGTTTTAGGGTATGGAAAATTTTTCGTAGATAAGATATAAAAAAGACTAAACATAAAGATTGCCACTCTTTTAAAATTAAAAATAAGAACTACATTCAGAGAGTAAAAAATAAGAAAAGGTATTTATAATTGACATATATCACTGACAAAGATTATATACACAGGACATCCAAGTGGCCAATAACATGAAAAAGTGTTCAACTTCATTAGTAATAAGGCAAGGGCAGATTMTAACCACAATAAGATATTTCAACACATCCTTGATAATGACTAAAATTTTTTAAGTTAACAAAACAAAGTATTCCCAAAATGTGGAATTATAAGATAAAAATAATATTCATATGCTGATAATTGGAATAAAAATTAGTATAACTACTTTAGAAGTAGTTTGCTATTTTCCATTAAAGTTAGACATGTGAGCACCCTCTGATCGTGTGTAATTCCATTGTAGGCATACACCCAACAGAACTGCATGCAATTTTATACCAAAAACCATACAGAAGGATGTTCATAGCAGTATTATTTGTAATGGGCGCAAATATCCATGAATAGAAGAAGAGATAGGTAAACATGGCATATTCATTTGATAGACTATCTATAGCAATAAAAATTAATAAAGTACAATTATCCTCAGCACCATGGGCCATATACACACATGCACACATACACACACAAAAAAAATTAAATAAATAATGGATACTTCCATTTCTATAAAACTCAAAAACAGACAAATCTAATCTCTGGTGTTGGAAGAAGAAAGAGATAATTATTGAGAGGAGGCACATTGTGAGAGACATTCCACATACAAATAATTTATGAGGGTTTTCTGCATGAGTCTAATGCACCAATAAAAAAAGTTTAAAACATTTTAATTATATGGAGATAAAATCAAGATAATAAAAAGATAACTGTGTTGGGCTCAGTGGTACAGTAAGTTCAATCCTCAGCCAGAAAAKATAACTCAGAACTCAATAATGAGGAGTAAAGGACTGATGGACCTTCTTCTGCTTGTACTCAAGAATCCAACAATACTAATACTAATGTTAGATATGTGGTAGACAGGCCTAAGTTTAACATCTAGTTATTCCCTATTTTTAGCAAAAGTCTCTGTCTTAGAAATGTAACTCTGATGCCACATCTTTTGTCTTATAGTGCAAATCTAAACTAAACAACAACTGGTGGTATTCTTTGCTACAAAGGCTAAATTATTTATTAGTTGGGACACTATAACAAGAAAATTGCTAAGTAATTACTTTCTCTCTTACAGAAGCAGAGCTGCTTAGAACAATATAATGGTTATTTTCATTATCAAGAAACTTGTTATAATCTTTTGTATGTTTTTTTAAACAGGAGAAAAATATTTTAATTATACATAAAATATATGAGACTCCAATTTTTTTATCTTTAACACTCATACTTAATCAAAATTGGTGTATATTGTTGTATATATCAATAAAACAAAAATAAGTAAACATTTTGGATCTCTAAATCCTCAYTATTTTATCTTCTTCATATAAGTTGTAAATATTTTTTGTTAACTATGTTTAAAAAGCAATGCAGTTTAGATGAGTGCAGTAGCACACTCCTGTAATCCCAGAAGCTCAGGAGGCTGAGGCAGGAGGATGGAGAATTCAGTCAGCCTCAGCAAGAGCGAGGTGCTAAACAACTCAGTGAGGACCCAGTCTCTAAATAAAATACAAAATAAGCCTGGGGATGTGGCTCAGAAGTTGAGTGCCTCTGAATTCAATCTCCAGTACCCCCAAAAAAAGCAATACAGTTTATATACATTACAGCAAATTAATAACAATTATTAAAACTATATGTGTTCATAGCATTATTCCTTAAATGTCTCTGTATTTGAAATATACAATAAAAGTTGAGGGGAAACTTGTATCATTTTATACAATATGATCTTTAAAACATGTGTCAAAATTTGAGAGAAATATACCAAAATGTTAACAGTGGTCATTTCTAAGTGGCAATATATTTTTTTCCTTCTTATGTGTTGGTTTAATTTTTCTATAAGCAATTATTTCCTTTCATAAAAATTAAATTTACTTTTCAAAAAAGAAATAAATCACTGGGAAAACATACAAAAATTGCTGGCCCCTAAGAAAGATTTCATCTTTGAGCTTTGAAGCCCATAAAATCCTATCTCTATATAAATTTTATTATTGAGAATATTTGGGATTGCAGTGCCATCTAACTATACATCCTTTGGTATGCTTTTCATTTCAGCAGGTATTGAAGAAAGATTCTAATGCTTTAGCTAAAATTTAATTAAGAACTTAATTCATAAAAGTGACATCACACTGTTAGAAGAGAAAATGTGAAGTTTACATTCAAGCTGTCCCTTCATTATCTGTGTTAAATAAGGCATGTGACTTAAATTCTGTTTCCCACTCATCATCTGCAGAACTGAAATAAGAAAACCTACTGCTGAAAAATTTTGTGAAGATGAATTGAGAAAGTGTAAAAGATCTACTGTGGGGCTTAGTCCATAAATTGTGTTCAATTAGAAGGCTGAAAAATTAGATAGCAAGCAGCTAGAACAATGTCTGACAAACAGCTTATGCTGAATACATAGTAATATAAAGACCAAAATGATTAATTTTCCATGATCTTTTGTTCCCTGCATGGAATTCCATGGTCTACCAGAATGCAAATTGTAAGAGAGCTACCTCCCAGGGGCCTGAGATAAGGCCTGGCACATGGAAGGTGCCCCATAACACATTGCTGAATGAACAGAAGCATGGACATACAATTTCAAGAAGGACCGGAGACAACCATGTCTTGGTCAAACAACTCAAGAGAGGATGAAAGAGATGCTCTGATCCTAGTAGGCATGACCTAAGCTATTTTGGGAAGACAGGTTTGTCAGACCTTTATAGAAAGTATGGCCACAGGAGTAAGTGGAAGGGACTGTCAGTGCGCTGGAATTATGGGATACTCTGGATAGGCAAATGTCTTCAAGTGGCTTCTCCATTTAAACCTGCACCTGGTTTCCCTTTGCTCATAGTGTAAAATCCAAACCCCATTCACAGGCTCTGTCAACCCTTCTGCCTACCTCTCAGTGCTCTCTTCTAGCTCCACTGTCTGGAGCTGCATTTGACTTTCTCCAGTTCCTGAGTACTACCCTGCTATTCTTGACCTCCACCTCTGAACCATGGATTTCCTTTTGCCTCACACTTACATTTAACCCAATCACACTTATTCCCTTCTGACATCTAGTGTGTACACACTGATACTTCAGGTTTTAGCTCAAATGTCCTTTACTTAGAACCTTCCTTAACAAATGCACCTCCCCAAACTAGCCCACCATCAGGGTAGGTTTGGAGACCCTTCTATGTGTTCCCACAGCTCTCTGTATTTGCTCCACCTTAGCACTTATAGTGTCCAGGTGTTTTCCCCAYAACCTGATGTAAGCTCCAAGATATTAATGACTTTAGTCTGTTAAATTCACTGCTTTGCCATCAGTACCCAGAATAATGCCTGGCTAATAATAATGGGCACCCCAAAAACATGTGTGGAATAAAATGAATGATTCACATCCAGATTGTATTAAGCTCCATGAGGTCTGGTTTAGAGTTGGTTCCTATATCATCAACAAAAGAATAGTGTCTGGAACATAGTAGCTACTCATCAAATAAATAATCTTCATTTGATGTTGATTATCCATTCAAACATCACACATGTGCTTATTTCAGGGACCTAATAAGAAAGGTTTGGTGTCTAATACTTCAATAGTTTCACCTTTTATTCTATTAATGTGTTCAACATTTTTGCTAATTTTTACATTTATATTATCTAGTTAGCAACACTGAAACATTCTCTATTGATGATATAAAATACCAATGATGCCAATTTCCAACTTCAAAAAATTTACTTATTATTTATCTTAATTGTTTTGTTATTCTTGTACCCACCTTTAGTCTGGGTAAAATAAGCCCACACAGGACCATCAAAGCCCAAATAATAGGTGTTAGTAACACTTGGCTTTAAATCTTTCATCAAGAATATAAATCAGACACCTAAAATAAGTTAAATCCTCTTAGAACCAACTCAAATCACCTTTGTAAAGATGTGATGCCAACAAATTAGTAAAGTCTCAGAACATTAGTACACACTCACAATGATCTGAACAAAGGCTGCCCTTGCAAAAACACCCACCCCTCCCATTCTCAGAAAAACATGTGTTAAATTAAGCTGGGTAGGGGAGTTGGGGGGGGTGGGATTGTGCTTTGAAACTCCATTTGCCATAAAGGATTTTCGCCCTTTCGTTTTTATGACACATAAACAAAAATAACAATGTAGGACCTCGAATTTGTTTGTTTTGCAAGGTTTTTTGGTAGATATGTCATTACATTTAAAATTAATGTTTACGTCACATGATTAATTACCAAGACTCATCAATTATTGAGTCTTCCTGACCAATGGTGCTATCAGGATCACTTAATTTTTATTTAGTGCATAAAATGGAAACACCACTGAAAGTGCTGCCAAGAATCTCAGAGCAGAATTAGCCAGCTGGAGTTTCTGCTAAATGATGAGCAAATGCGTAGTACTACTCTTACCATTCAGGCTTATGAAGTGATTAATTTTATCAATAGCTACAACTGTAGGCCAGCTGTATATAGCAAATGGGATTGGAACTTTGGCAGTTTGCTATGATGTCATAAATACTTTTAAAATTGGTTTTAGTTATTGTATTTTTTTTAAGAGATGGGAATCTCACTGTGTTTCCTAGGCTGGCCCCCAGTTCCTGGGCTCAAGGGATCCTCTTGTCTCAGCCTCCCAAGTAGCCTGGATTACCACAACTGGCCAGTTAATTTATTTTTAAACCACCTAGTTTCAGAAAGGATTTATGACAGTGTTTAAAGGCACAGTAAATATAATCCCGCAAGACTTTTTTTAAATCCATGAGCCACATGTGGCATAGGAGAAATAAAGACGGGGCATCACAGGCCTCTTCTCTTCTTACCTGTGTACTGCAACCCCCTGTACTCGCTTATTGCCCCGGGAGGTTTTAAATTGGGCCAATAGTGGAAAAGCATTTGCACAGCTGGAGGTTTCACTTGTGAAGGCCCATAGGCAATAACATACAAAAGGTCCTACAGGAAACAGGAAGCATATTTTGACTTAGCACCATCAAATAACAATAAATATTCATTCAATATTACTAGAGCATGGGAATTCCAGTGGAGAGGATGAGGTGGGTCACTTTCCTGGAATCCATCATCCAGGTGTGCTTCACAGTTTAGACCACATTATAGCATTATAATTATTCATTATTTGCTCATTTATTTTTTCTTCTATAAATGATCCCTCTGGGCAGAATTCAAAAGTACACTGTCTTATAACAATTTTTCCCAAATTAGATTCATCTTAAAGAAAGATTTTAGGGATTTTGTTTTGTTTGCAGTGCTGGAGATGGAACTCAGGGCCTTGCACATGCTAGGCAAGCACTCTACCACTGAGCGATACCCCAACTCAAAGAAAGTGTTTAGAATAACATACATCAGTTTAAAAAAATATTTTCCTAATCACATTTCTTAACAATTCACATCTCCTATTTGAAAGAAAGCAGATTCTCAACTTTTCAAATTAAAAAAAATACATGTCATACAGCATAATATTTGCCTAATTTCAAGAATAAGATGTATTTAATTACTTTATCTGTCAAGACACTGTTCTAAATGATAGTTTAGTAAAGAAAAAAGAATATCCACTGCCACATAAGAAAACTAAGACAACAATAGCTTTGACCTAAGCAACAGATAYAATATGCAAATAATTTTTACCATTTTATATAAATTAATGTAGTGACTATGGGTTAAATTTGACCCCAAACTTACTTTCCAGACTTCTTGTTTATATTTCATGAGGCATTCCAGTAACTGACAATGATACACTGTAAGAAGAAAATGTAATGTGCACATGAAATGTAAATACCAAACATCCTTTGAGATACATAAACTACTTTAATATGATTTCCAATTCCAATCATTAAATTGTTAATTACTTATTGTAACATATTCATATTTTCAAAAATACCATAATCTCTTGACTTATCAAGCTTTACTCAAGATCTTTGAGAAGTATGACACATATCATATTACTAGACATGTTAATAAAAGTCTTTAGTGATCATATTTCTGCAACATAAACTTGTATCAATGCAATAAAAAACTACAGAGAAGGGAAAACAGGATCGTAATGAAAGCTCATTTATTGAGAATTCATTATGTACCAAGTATCAGGCTAAAAGCTTTATGGCATATTATCTCACGCCCTCCATGTTTCAGTTCAAAAAATAGCTTCCTATCTTGCCCAAAGATGGACAGATAGCAACCGACAGACTGATGGGATTAGAATGAGAGTTTTATCACTTGAGCAGTGTTATGGTTTGGATGTGAGGTGTCCCCCAAAAGCTCATGTGTGAGACAATGTAAGAAGATTCATAGGAGAAATGGTTGGGTTATAAGAGTCTTAACCCAATCAGTGAATTAATCCCAATAGGGATTAACGGAGGGGTAATTGAAGGAGGTGGGAATTGGGGTGTGGCTTTGGGTGTATATTTTGTATCTGGAGTGTGGAGACCTCTCTCTGCTTTTCTATTCACCATGAAAGCTGCTTCCCTCCCTCACAATCTTGCACCATGATGTCCTGCCTCACCTAGAGCCCCAAGGAATGAGCCAGCCTTTTATGGACTGAGACTCTGAAAGTGTGAGCCCCCAAATAAACGTTTCCTCCTTTAAAATTGTTCTAGTCAGGACTGAGGTTGTCTCAGCGGTAGAGCGCTTGCCTACCATGTGTGAGGCACTGGGTTTGATCTTCAGCACCACATAAATAAATAAATAAATAAAGATATTGTGTCCACCTATAAATAAAAAATAAACATTTTTTAAAAATTGTTCTAGTCAGATCTTTTAGTCACAGCAGCAAAACAGCTGACTRGAGCAAGCAGTAATTCCATTTTGGGAAAGAATTTTTTCAGAGCTACACAGCAACAAGCTCCCTTGATTTCCCATGTTCACTTGAGGAGTAAAGACACTGTCATCCTAGTTAGATGTCTTTTTGCTCTACCTTCCAGCTCCATCATGACCCTGACATTGTTCTCATTTCAGCCACCAGTGACCCCATGGCACTCGGTTCAGTGGATGGTTTTCAGTCTGCATCTCACTGATGCCTCAGTGGCATTCAGTGCTGCTGACCGCTGTCGTTTTTAAAATCACTCTCTTCCCATGGCTTCCTGATGTGACATGACCCTCTCCTATCACCTGTGTTGGACACTGCTATCAACAACCCCTTTTCCCTGTCATCTGCCAATGCACAGACTTTTCCAAATCCCCTTGCAGCTACAGGACTCCATCCTTGCCAGTAGGACCTAAGAGAGAAAACTTCTAGGGAACTTCTCATATTGTTTTCCTCTTTGATTAAAAGAAAAGGGCCAACCAGGAGACCTTTTTCTAACGACTCTAACTCATCTTGTTTTTGAATGTGGTTGTCTGAGGAAATAATGACCTCCACTGTGGCAGCCATTGCACAAACTTGAGGGAAAATCTAAGGAAACACGAAGATGCTATCTCAGCCCTTGATACTGTAGAGCTAACTTTAAGACTTCCTACTGAGCAAACCACAAAAGTGTTTTGCAGCTTTTATTTCAGTTTTCATTTTTTAATTGGTTTGTTATAATTATGTATAATTATATATGAATATTATAATAGTGGGATTTCTTACACATTTGTACATGTAGTTTAAAGTATCTGTTAGCTAAGCAGGAAACTCTCAATCTCCTTGGCAACTTCACCCTCTTCCACAGGTCCACTTCCTATTGGAGTTCCTAGAGGCCTGAACCAAGAAACACTCTACTTTTCATTTGCACTCTCCCCCAAGCAATCTCACACTCATATTAACTACAGAAGCCATCTATGTGAAATTGGATGAGGTCATTTGACACTCAGGTGTAGGCTCAGAATTCATTATCTCTAGTCTAGAATTCTGTTCTGAGGTCCAAAACTATAACACAACTACCTAATTACCATCTCCTCTGAGATGTCTCAAAGGCTTCTTGAACACAGCATGTCCAAAACAGATCTCTTGCTCTTCCCTCAGAAGCCTCATCTTCTGGTGCCTCATTTATCAATGAATATAACCTCCATGCCTAGTTAGAGCAAGTCAGAAGAAACCCATTAGATCCAATGTGTCACCAAGTCCTATCAATTTGACTTCATAAATAGCTCTCAGTAGATCCATTTTTTTTCTATTTCAATTGTCCTTGCCTGACATGTATGCCTGAACAAATGCAATGAGTGCCTTATCAGTCCATCTATACCCAATCTGGCCCTTTCTCATTCCATTCTCCATTGCATCTACTTAAAACCCCTCAGTGGCTTCCCATTAGATATGATATAAACAAAGGACTTCTTGCCTAACACAGCCTACAACATCCTGAATGTTCTCTAATTCTCAGCTCATACTAGCTAGCCCTCCCCTAGAGTTCCATCTACACTGACCTTTCAGTCTCACTGGCTTGCCAGGCTCCTTCTTGACACAAGATTCTGCCACCTGAACTTCTATCTCACTCCCATCCTGTAGATCTTCTTAATACAACTCACTCATCATTCAATTCTTGTACCAAAACTTGCTTCCTCTGAGAAGCCCCCACCGAACTCCTCAACAAAAGCAAAATTTCCTTTCATAGAGTTTTATAATACAAGGTACTTCAAGCATTTGTCACAACTGAAATTTTATCCTTGGTTTTATAATTACTTGATTAATATATTTCCCCTCCTCCAAAATGCAATATGCTTCACAAGATGAAGGTGGGATCTGTTTTGTTTTATTAACCATAGGGTCCCATACTCAATGACAATGTATTGAATAGTTACTCTAGAAATGGAATATTGTCTTTAAGCCACCACTGAGTGTTTAAGGACACATGTTCCAAGACATTTTCTCTTATACAGTGTCTGTCTGCGTGTTCTGCTACATGAACCTCTGTAGTATTCCACCTACTGCCCCCTGAACAGACCTGGAAAGTTCCTCTGTTTAAACTATTTCCCTCACAGAATGTCTTACTTATCCTATCAATCAAAACTCTATCCATATTTTCTTTGCTCAAGGAAATAAAGCCTTTCCTGATCATTTCAATTCTTGGAGTTCTCCCCCATGATTAATTAACACCATCTATAGCATTTATTTGGCACTTTCCACATACCCTTTACATGGTTAATTAATGACTTAAATAAATATGCCCGACTGACCCAATTAAATAAGTTCCACCAGAAGAGTCATATTTTGTATTTCTGTGTGGTTATCACCATTTCTAACAGAGAATCCTGTACATGGAGGTTATTCAATGAATAACCTTCCTCTTACTTGAGGAAGTGCTCTGCTCTGTCCTTGACACATAATCAGCTAAAAGAAACAAGCTGCCACTTGTTGCTTCTCTCAGTAAATATTTAAACAATAGATAGCATTAGAGCTGATTATGCTAAGTGAAGTTAGCCAATCCCCAAAAAACACAAATGCCGAATGTCTTCTCTGATATAAGGGGCGGGGTGGGGGGGAGCATGGGAAGAAGATTACCTCTAGATAGGGAAGAGAGGTGAGAGGGAAAGGAAGAGAGAAGGGGAATCTCACAGAAGATGGAAGGAGACCCTCATCATTATACAAAATACATGTATGAAGATGTGAGGGAAAAAAAGAGAGAGAGAATAGCGTCACCTTAGATTGGATAGAAAGAAGTGATGGGAGGGGAGGGGAGGGGATGGGAGTAAATGAAGGATAGTAGAATGAAATAGACATTATTATTGCTGTGTGTATATACCAATGTGATTCTGCAACCTGTACACTCAGAAAAATGAGAAATTATACCCCATCTGATTCAAATGTATGATATGTCAAGGTCATTGTACTATCATGTGTAACTAATTAAAACAAATAAAAATTTTTTTTTAAAAAGACAAGCCATAAGATTAAGAAAAAAAAATTAAACAATAGAATGATGTCTGTGTACTCGGCCCCAGTGGATTTTGCTTTACTTTTTAACTGTTTCCCGTATCACAAGACTATTTGGGGCCAGAACTATAATTCCTAGTATAAAATAGCTGGTTATAAGCATTTCCCATGAACATATGAAAATACATTGGAAATAATCTGATAAATAATTCTACCTGATCACAGTAGAGATAAAAATATTCAGATAAAAATATTCAATTCTATGAAGAAAATGCCAAACCATAGAATTTGCATTTCTTTTACTTGGTACAATGTGCCAGTCACTGTGCCAAGCACTTTACCTATACTTAACTCACTACAAATTCAAAACAACACTTTAAAGTACTATAAGAAGAATTATTCCCATTTCATAGATGAGTATACATGAGCTTGGGAAAGTTAAAGAACTTGCTCAACACGGCACTGTCATTTGTAGGTAAACTCAGATACAAATCCATATACAAAGTACCTCAAAGTACCTCAAAGTACAGGATTTTACCATTCAATGTTAGAATCTAGGTTTCATGATAAGACTTTATTTTTAAATTAAATACATAAATGAGTAACAATCTTTTATTACATGGTAAGACTTTAATTAACTAGATTCAAATTAAGGGTTTTTTTTTCAGAACATAACAGATCTTAAATGTAAATGATATTTTGATGGTCCTTGAAGCTAAACAGTGAAATGTGAGATATAACATTCCCCCAAACATACATTTTAATTAAATCCATATGATAATCATAAATCATTTTATACTTAAAAAATGCTATGGACTAAATATGCTCCCTCAAAATTCATGTTAAATTTAGTGGTAGTATTAGAAGGTGGGAGTCTTTGGGAGATGATTAGCTCATGAGGGCAGAACACTCATGTATGGAATTAGTGCCCTTATAAAAGAGGCCTCAGCATTCCCTTGCTCTTTCTGCCATGTGAGGGCATAGACAAAGATGGTTGTCTATGAACCACATAGTGGGTCCTCACCAGACCACTGAATCTGCCAGCACCTTGATCTTGGACTTCCCAGCCTCCAGAACTATAAGTGTTTATTGCACACACAGGCCACCCAGCTTAAGGTATTTTTGTTATAGTATCTGAAACAGAGGAAGACAGAAAAATGGCACTGAAAAGTAGGGTGTTGCCATAACAGCACCGAAAAATGCAGAAGCAGCTTTGGAACTAAGTAATATGTAGGAGCTACAAGAGTTTTGAGGTACATTCTAGAAAAGCCTACATAGCTATGAATGGATCTTTTAACTGTTTCAGATAAAAAAGAACAGAGCCCTTGAGAAAGCCTCCATCTTCTTAAAAAATGCCTAAGTGATCCTGAACGAATGTTGGTAGAAATATGGACAGTAAAGGACAGGTTCTGATAAGGTGTCAGACAGAAATAAGGAATGCAATATTGGAAGCTGGAGGAGAGGCCATCCTGTGACACAGTGGCAAAGAACCTGGCTGAGTTATGTTGATGTCCTAGTGTTTGGTGGAAGGTAGAATTTTTGAGTGATGAAACTGGCTATCTGGCTGAGCACAGTTCTTAGAGAAATGCTGAAAGAGCAGCCTGGCATCTCTGACTGCTTACAGTAAAATTCCTGAAGTGGGAAATGATTTAAAGACAGAAATGTTAATCAAAAAAGCAGCAAAAGTTAGATTTGGGAAATTCTCTGCTTATCTGTATTAAAAGAATGAGAAAAACTTGTTAGGAAGAGAACACTAAGGGCACAACTAAGCAACTAATAAACAGCACTGAACAGAAACTAACGACAGCCAGCCTTCCCAGGAGAAGGCAGGAGCTGCTGCCCCAGATGAGGGAGGATGACACTTTAGGAATCCTCAGAGCTGCCTGGCACAGAGGTGCACTCATAGTCCCAGCAACTCAGGGGGCTGAAGCAGAAGGATCACGAGTTCAAGGACTGCCTCAGCAATTTAGCAAGACCCTGCCTAAAAATTAAAAATAAAAGGGTCAGGGTATGTGACTCAGTGGATAAGTGTGCCTGGGTTCAATCCCAGATATGGGGGGGGGGGGAGAAGAAAAGAAGAAGCCACCCACACTTGGGGGACCTCACACCTGCCACCTGGCCCACCTCACTGCTGGCTGCTTCCAGTTCCTACACTCTGATGCCTTGTGCTTCAGCTGCCCCTCAGTGAAGTGCCTTTGTCCCCAACATAGCATGTGCTGCACCGACAAAGCTGTGAGGGCTTCCACCTAGATTTCAGTGGAGCCCAAGAGAGTCATGAGCACAGGACCCAGCCTTTCAGAGAAGGCTGAGGCAGAAAACTGACATGGCAGCAGGATTATCATGGAAATCCCTTCTCGGGCAATGTCAGGAGAGCCATGCTGGCCAGGCTCCCTAAAGCCATGAGGCAGGACCACCTGGAGCCTTGGAGCCCAACCCTTACCCAGCAAAGCTGCTGGGAAGGAAGAACATCAAATCAAAGGTTTTTCTCAAGCCTAAAGTTTAATGTTTTGGGGTGTTGGACCTACATAGAACCTGTCATTCCTTTCTTTTTTTACATTTCTCTCTTTTGGATGGGAATGTCCATCCTATGCCTGTCTCACTGTTGTATTTGTTTTGATGGTGCTAGAAAGAGAACCCAGTACTCCTCATATGCTAGGTAAATGCTCCAACACTGGGTGTCTGCAACCCAAGTCCCCATCATTTTATTTTATTTTAGAAACATATAATTTATTTGATTTCACAGGTTCACAGCTGGAAAGAAAATTATCTCAGGATAAATCATAATTCAAGTCTCACCTACATCTGATTTAGATGATATTTATATGAGATGTTGGACTTTGGACATTTGACGTGATATTGAAATGAATTAACACTTCTGAGGTTATCAGAATGGAATGAATGTATTTTGCATGTCAGAAAGACATGAAGTTGGGATTGGGGACAGTGATAGAATGCCAAAGATTGAATATGTATATCCCCCCAAAACTCATATGTTAAATCCTAACACCCAATGTAATGGTATTAGGAAGTGAAGTGAGGCCCTTATGAATGGGATTAATGGAATTAGAACTCCCTTGCTCCTTCTGTATGAGAGAATACAAAACAAGCATGACCATCTGTGAATCTGGAAGCACCAGATCACTAAATCTACCAGTACCTTGATCTTGGACTTCCCAGCCTCCAGAACTATAAAAAGTAAATGTTATGTGTAAGCTGCCCAGTTTATGGTATTTTTGTTATGGCAGCCCAAACAAACTAAGGCAAAGGATGAGAGCTGGGTGAGTTAGTGTACTTCCTAATCCCAGCTATCTGGAAGATGAGGTGGAAGGATCATTTCAGCTCAAGAATTAGCGGCCAGCCTAGGGAAAATAGCAAGACATCATCTCAATTAAAAAAAAAAAAAAAGTTCAAGGCCAACACTCTAGATTAAGAAGCACTAAGATTTTGAAATGGAAAAAAAAATTTTCTTCATTCTTCAGTCAAAAACTCCAAAATCTCAATTATTATTCTACTTAATTAAACAGAAGGTTTAAAACAGTGCTATAATATTTATTCACTTTCCAAATAAACAATAACTGAAAAAAAACTGAGTTCATATCTCAGCATATGACTCCTATAGTCAGCTCCTTTTTAGATCAGCTCCCCAAAGTTCAACTGAATTATACTGACAAATGGAAATCAAATGGAGTAAGTTATATAAAACCTGTCCAACAACACTAGTAATCCAAGACATAAAAATCAAAATGAGATTTTTTTAATCTATTCAACTCTACAAATTTTATGATGATACTCAGTGACCAGTCATAATGAGACAAGTACTTTCAAATACAACTATTGAGAATATTGAAATTTTTTCAAGCCCTTTAACCCATGAATCCCTCTTTTATTAATTTATTCTAAAGAAAATAATCAGAAATGTAGTAAAAGGTTTGTGTTCAAGGACATTGGTATGACATTAGAGGACCAAACTTGTCAAATTATTAACCAAAGTTATTTTTAGTTGTTAGAATTAGATATTTTTATATTTCTAATTGAACTATTTCTATATATTTATATTCAATCAAATTCCAGTCAATGTTCTAAAATTTTTTCCTCAAACATTCTTAAAAAAAAAAAACACTAGTTGCAAGAGCACTAATTACTTTTAACAATAGGCAAGGAAAATTTATTTTAATTAAAAAATCTGTTTTCTAACACACCTCCAATTGCCAAATCCACCAAGAAAAGTTCTCGCATGAAAACTTCTAGCTTATTTATTTAACGTCTTACTTAATGATTGGTTTTGGAATTAGTCAAGACAGAGTTCCACTTACCTGGATTAGATGTGTACTGCATTGCAATCATTAGCATGGAGGATGCAGACAGATTAACATGTGCAGGAACACCTTCTCTCCTGGAGGAACCCACTGAAACCAAAATTTCTTTGATTAGACACAATTTAGTCTATATATAGATAGAGAGATAGATACACATATATATGCATATATACTTGCTGCTTCACATAGAGCATGGGAACTAAGAAGGAACTTAAAAAGAAAGTCCCAGTCAGCCAATGAAACTTTACACAAATAAAACTCATAAAATTTTCCTTGTATACAAATGCAACAGTTGTCAACATCATAGCAAACACGTACAGAGTATCACCAAGAAGGAACAATGCCAGAATGTGACATAATGGCTTTAACAGAGCCATGCTCAGATATGATCACTACTTCCAATATGTTTATGTCTAGATGGAAAAGAAAGGGAAAAAAATCTTCTTTGTGCTCAGATAGAAAGAAGGAATACTGAAGGTTGTCCCAATAAGAAAAAAAAAAAGTAAAATGTTTTTAAACCCAACTTGAATTACTAAATTATCTAGAGATGCAGATGAAATAAGGTTAGTATAACATGCAACTTCTTAGTTACACATAGAAATTTTAAATCATGTTATAAAAATACAATATTAATTTTAAAATTATTTTCAATGCTCATAAATCATCAGTTTTATTCAAACCTTCATATGTAACTTTATCATTATTGTCTTCTTCACCATGAGAATCACTACTTTGTTAAATAGTTTTACAAAACTTACCATCTTCAAATCCATCTGAGTTTGAAATAAAGCACCTTTTGAATCTGTGAATAATGCCATTGCTGGACATTTTATCCCACATCAACAAGTATCAATCACAGAGCAAAAGTTGTTTTATTGAAAACCTGTCTTATATATGTAAAACCATGATCTCCATTTACATACTGCTTTTAAAACATCTTTAAGTGGTTTTTTCATGGCAATATTAAACACTATATTAAATTTCATTGTCTTTTTTTAATAGAGTACATCAAATAACTCCTTTAAGGATTCACGTCAAGCACTGATAGAAGTCACTTGAAGTATTGTGTTGTCTCTAAAGGGTACTTTATTATCCCAAGCACAGTAATTGAGAAAGAATCCACAAYAGGAAGAACTTTATTAGGATTTGAATGTAAAATGATTCTCCTTTTCTGGGGAATAATTGCAAAAGTACAAGATACCTCTTATTCCTAGGTTTATGTGGCAAATTGTCAAGCATGAACAGAACGGTGTGCAGGAAGTATAAAACCCTCAAAGAGGCAACTCTCAATTTCCTGAACATGAAATACCATGACTTTGGCAACAACCAGCAAGCAGAAAACCTCAAAATCTGCTTTATTTTATATAAAATTACAATACACAGGGAACATATCTCATTTACATCCAAAAAGATAAGACAGTTTTATAAAACATGTGATAGTAGAACCACCAAAATACCAATGAAAGATCTGTCACATAATAAAGGAAACAATGTTTAACATGATTCTTTTTTCTTTTTAACACAAAGAACTTTCAGTACCCATAATGGATGGCTGCTTTCACAAAAAAAGCTTTACAAAAACAAACAAAGTAAATCCATAGTTAAATTCCATTGAGTTTGTTTTCAATCACTGGCAGCTGAGTGCTCCTAACCCACCAAGCAGCCAATATTCAGGTAGATAAATTAGTTTGGCTATACAGTATACATAAGCATTAATAATTAAACAGAGATATGGAGAGCAGTATACTATTCTTAGATGACAAAGTTGATTAATCAAATACAATTAATTAAGGAAAAAGAACTTGGAGGCACATTTAAAGAACAAGACAGCATTGCTCTAAGGCTTTAGCCAGGGAGCTTTTTCAAATTCAGCTTCTCGGGTGCCCATATCTAGAGATTATAACAGTCTGGGAAGCAGGAAAGACATATCAAATTAATAAGCACACCAGGTGACTCTGATGCAAACTGGCCAAGAGCTTCCTTTTGAGAGGTTCTAGTAGAGAGATGAGAAATAAGAAAGGAAATGCCCAGTAAGATGTCCAGGGGTAGAAGAATAATTGGCAGAAAACCTCAAAATATGCTTTATTTTATATAAAATTATAATACATATGGGACATATCTCATTTATAACCAAAAGGAATAAGACAATATTCTTTGTGCCCCTTGTTAAAGAAAGAGAAAATAGTCTAGTCTCCAACATATTCAAGAAAGAAAGAATGTATCTTTTGTGTATCTCCATTCTTTTTGAGACAATTATTTTCACCTCTGTTTAATTCATCTCAAATTTTTAAAAAACAAGCATTTCTCAATCAGGAAGACTATAGCTAAGAGAGGCTGAGAGTCAATGTGCCTGGAGGCCTTTAAAAATGGGAGCGATGCCCAACCATCTCGGATGATTTAGGGGAAGTCTATTTGGAGAACTGCCCAAATAGCTCAGCAACCTTTGGTTGTCCCTGTTACCCCTTCAAATCTATGCTCTTCCTTCAAGTATGACCAGCCATAAAGCCAAAAGTGTTCTTTTGGCTCTGACCCTAGGAAATTGGCTCTAATACTTATGTATATTAACAGACGGTACCTTGCAACTTCATAGCCTTCTACTAGACTGAACAAAATAACTGCAAATCTTGTTTAATAAACAAATACAAGTACACACTATTTATTGAATTTTGTTTAAAAGGCATAATATAAACAGATGTGCAGTTTTTCCCCAAGAGGGTGTTAAAAAATATGTACAATAGAAGATAGTCAAAATAAGAACATTTTAATCCCCAGCACCACAAAAAAATGAGAAAATTTTACACTTAATATCATACTCAAAAAAAAAAAGTTTCCAGTCTTATTCCCTATCTTCTCAGCACCACCAGTACGATCATTACCAACACCCCTCTTTCCATGATAAGATAAATCTCTTAATATGCTCCTGCATTTTATAGTTCCTAATGTACTATCATGTAGAGCTCTTATGATTGTCACCAAAAAAAGTAAGTATACAAGGAAAGTCATTTTATAAAAGAGAGAAAAAAATATTTGCAATCTAATTTTTGAGTCTATATTCCAAATCACACTGGATTCACAGCCAATGTTCTAGTCACTTATTCATTCACCAATATTGTTCTCAATACATCCTATGCACCAAACATTTTTCTGAGCCCTGGGAATACAATAGTAAAGAATGTAGACAAGTCCTCATTCCTTCTGGAACTTAGATGCTAGAGCTGTGTTATCCAATATGATAGCCACAAGCCACTGATGGTATTTAAATTAAAACTGAATCAAACTTAAAATTCAGCTCTTCAGTCTTCCTAGTGAAGACATATAAAGCAGGGCAAGAGAGAAGAGAGAGGATAATGCCAGGAGTTATATTAGCTAGAAAGAAAGGAAGGGCATCTAGAAAGATGTGGCACTTGAGCTAAGACCTAAAGAAAATAAGAAAGCAAATCAGAAGATCATCTGGAAGAAGGACATTGAGACAGAGAAGAAAACATAGAGAAAACACAAAAGCTCAGTACCTTTATGAAACTGCAGAAAGGTGATGTGCATAGTAAAGAGTGGACACAGACAGGCAGTAATGAAAGTAATAAGGTAAGCAGTAGCCAGATCACAGAGGGCCTTGTGGGACAACTAAGGACTTTGAAATTGGATTTTAAGAGTGACAGTAAGATAGATGATTTGGATGAGGGAAGTGACATGATCTGATTTACATGCTTGGAGAAAAGTTCTGGCTTTTTAGTGAACAGGCAGTAGCAGGGCTTAAAAAAGGAACAGAGAGGTGAGTTACGAGGACCAGTGGCCCTCAGGAGAGTTAAAAAGGAACACAGAGGACCAGCTCATTGGGTAGGTCCACAAGAGAGATGGTGGTAAGAAGTGGTCTGAGTTGACATATGTTGAAATAAACCCCACTGGTCTTAGAGAATCATCTGGGAAGAAGAGACACATTCAGGTGTACGCAACAGAGCCACTTCCTGAACTTCTCCATACTGCATTACTTGAATTGAAAAGTAGTCTCTTCTGCACTTGTGCCTTGGGTTTGTGTGAGCAGAGTTAATTGTGTTCCACTAGAGAGGGTTTCTCCAAAAGACAGCCACACTTTTCAGAAGGGTATTTTAGTGAAACGTAAAGACAAGACAATATGACCCTGAGTTTCTGTAGATTAAGTCTATTAAAATATTTGCAGATGTGCAGGTTAGTGCAAAGTCATAGAGACAGGACAGCCCTCAACACTGAAGAAATGTTCTGACATGTTCTAGAAGCACAACATCTGGCATAATAATGACAGTTATTATATAACAAACTAATTCCCGCTAGTAGATGGCCCTCTACCTCAAGCAATATTTAAGATGATAAAATTTCAGAGCAACATGGAAATTGCAGTGGAATATTAGAATTAGTAATGGAATTTAACATATCTGTGATCTGACTACCCATTTGATCCATTATGCATACACTTGTACAATGTCATAGAATATTCAAAAGCCATTCTCACATGTTAGTTATCTCCTTTTCTTTGCAATAAACATGGGATGTGGACAAGGGAAGTTTGATTATTGACAATTTTATAAGGGAACCAATGTTTGATGAGGTTGAGACATTTTCCAACTGCCAAAGGACTATATTCAGTTCTTCCAAACTCCAGTACTAAAATATTTCTCAAAATTCAACAAGGTCTTCTTAAAGTATAGAAGATCTGCCTTATAAAAACAATCATTAGCTAATAAAACAGACATCATATATTAAATATTACTAAACATCATCAGTATCTTGCACTCTTTTTTTAACTTTTTTTCCATAAAGTATTAATCTCTGGAAGACCACAGAAACATCACACATCCTATACAATAATAGTTTTTAAAAAAAGGTTATATAAAAGTAATGGAACAAATGACACATGGCCAACAGCCTGGGACCAGACGTTCAATTAAGTCACACAATTACTTTTAAGTCAAAGCAAAGATTTGAACAAATCTTTATTTTTCCTGAGGGTAASTGACTTTTCAGAAAGTCTAACTTGGAAAAGAAACCAGATTTGCCTGCWTAGTCTAGGATATACTAGAAGCATCTTGAACTGATATAATACTTCAGCTTTATTAGTATCTTTATTTTTTTTTTGGTTTAATGAATTTTTTTATTTTTTTTATTGTTGGTTGTTCAAAACATTACATAGTTCTTGATAAATCATATTTCACACTTTGATTCAAGTGGGTTATGAACTCCCATTTTTACCCTGTATACAGATTGCAGTATCTTTAAATCAAGGTTGTTTGCATTAATTAAGGTTCATTTGGAATTAGTTTTTTCTCTTCTCTGCTTTTTCTCTTTGGAAGACATTATCTTCCAAACATCCACATTTCAATTCAATTCACAAATCACAGATCCTTTATTGGAAAAAGAGAGGTTTCCATGGTGACATGAAATAATTTTTTTTAATTCTTAGTAACTCCTTTAATTTTTTTAATAAACAAAGCATATTGCACACATATGGAATAAAGAAAATATATTTTATTTATGGAAGGAGTTAAAAAGAAAGGTTATATAAAAGGGAAATTTAATAATAAATAAATTGATATTTGCTCTGCAGAACTTCAAAAGGAGTTACTTAAAACTAAAAGCACAGCACATAGTTTACCAACAAAGATGGCATAAAGGACAAATGAGATACACATAAAGGCCTTTTAATCTGAAGGAGCTGTAATATCTCATTAGGTTCACTCCAAAGCTCAGAACTTCATCATCCAGGTGATACAGACAATGATATAATCATTTAATGCCTGAAAATTTGTCTGTGTTTTACATTTGACCTTAGGAACACCACACCAAAGAGATTTTTTTTAAAAGAGCCCTTCTGTCTTAAAGACTTTTATCACTTTATCAAGAATATAAAAGACTCAACATTTGGGCCTGGGGGTGTAGCTCAGTGATAGATAACTTTCCCAGCATGCAGAAGGCCCTGGGTTCCACCAGCACTGCAGGAAGGAAGGAGGGAGGGAGGAAGAGAAGCAGGAAGGAAGGGGCAACATCTTTATCCTAACTCCTTGGTACTGAAATTAAAATATTCTGGGAGAACTTAAAGCCTTCTGTGTTGTGTGTGTTTTTTACTCAGAATTTCTAGATATGGAAACAACCACCAGAAAATAAAAACAAGGTCCCTACAATGAACAGTCCCACATTCTCACATCAATTCATCTTGACATGAGTAACCTAGAACCAGATCCCTTCCATCTTGGCATCTATCTCGTACCTACTTTGTGAAATAATGAGCACACAAAAGCAGCATCTGAACAGTGTAACAGAATGCAACTATAAAAGTTAGCATTACAATTTATTCTTGAAGATTTGAAGCTAACAGAGATTGTCTAATGTTGAACTACCAAAATGGAGATAAGAATCCAAGTTAAAACTAAAAGACTAAATTCAGACAATAAAATAAATACATGAACCATATCAACAACTAGATTAGAGGAAGCCATGTGCCTTTTATATAAAATACGATTTAACCTAGGACTATTAAGCCAGAAATAACCTCACAGATTGATTTTTTCCAGATACCTCGTTTAAGGTTGAAAAATATAATCAATGTGATCCTGCAATCTGTACATGTGGGAAAAATAAGAATTCATACCCCATTTGAATCAAATGTATGATATATGATATGTCAAGATCATTGTAATGTTTTGAACAACTAATAAAAATAATTTAAAAAATTAAGTTCAATAGACATGAAGCAACTTGTTCACACCTTTAAATGAACACCAAGTTATTCCTCTAATCAACACTAAAATTCACACAAATTCTGTAAACTCGACTCACTATTTTGATCTCTTCAATTGCCAAGGTTCACACATTTTTATGAGTAAGGATTCTAACCTGACTTCAAGTTAATTAGTGTTCTAGGTTCTGTATTTCTAATTAAGTAGAAATTAAAAATCAAGTGTGATGAAATGAATGGCCAGTTCCACAATACCTGATCAATTTTAAGTATAACTTCAGAATCTTGACATACTCAATGTCTCTCCCAAAATTATTAACTTATTCCTAAGAAGTAGGAATACGGTAAATTAGATTAGTTATTAGAAAGATATAGCCTCACCTGCCATAATTCAAAAAAACAAGACTTTCTATTTTTTTTCTAGTGCTTTTTTTTTTCCCAGTGCTGGGATTGAACCCAGGGCCTCATACATGTTAGGCAAATGCTCCACCATTGAGCTACATCCCCATCCCAACATTATTTATTTCAGAATAGCTCTATACAACTTTAAGACCGTATCTACAAACAAGTACCTGTCCATAAGTTTACAGAGAACCAAAAAAAGAAAATGACCAAATATTATATTATTTGAATGATATGACAAATCTGCTAGTTTTTCCAAATTACCATAGAATTTAGGGAAAAAGTCAGACTCTAAAAAAAATGAAAATTACAATTCCATACCTAAAATTAAACTTGAGTTTAAAATAAACAAATATAGCTCAATTAGTGCATATATTTACCAATTGTTGATATACCACAACAACTTTAATAAGATCGTAAGTACATAAAATTAAAATGGTGAAAAATGACCACTAGGAGTTAAATGTGCCCAATAAAGTTACTTTTTAAATTATAGATGGACACAATACTTTTATTTTATGTATTTATTTTTATGTGGTGGTGAGGATGGAACCCAGTGCCTCACATGTGCTAAGCAAGTGCTCTACCACTGAGCCACAACCCAAGCCCCTAAAGTTATTTTTATAGACAAAAATTGAGGAAGGAGAGAAGTAAACTAAGTTACCCCTAGCAGGTATTGTGCCAGCACTCTGCCAGTGTTCCAGGTTAAAGTCTTAATCATCACAACAGCCTATGATTACTACAGCTCTGTGAATACTATTCTCATTTTACAGGTAAGAAACAGAAAGATTAACTAACTTGCCTAAGGCCAAACACTAGCCAGTGGCAGAGCTGAGATGGGGAATCTAGATCTGTTTGACTCCTAAACACACAATCTTTTCAGATCATCCGCACAAACAGATCAATCCATGATCCATTTCCTTGAAGAATATTTTAGAAGAAACATGATCATAAAGACCACAACCCAATGTTTTTCCTGTTTGCTTTAATGTCCAATAAGCCAGAGTATTTAAAAGTGGAAAAGAATTTAAATCAGTTCTGTACAGACTCCTGTATACAGATTCCTTAGCTGTTTTCAAAAATTCTGACTCATTTTATCATCACAACACCCCTGTGAGGGAAAGCTGATGGATCAGTCTGTGGGTGGAGTTTCAGCTCTGTGAGCTGCCCACCATCTCACAGCAAATTAGGGGCAGAGCTGGTTCCAGAATCTACAAGTGCCAACTCTACCTGTTGCTCTTTCCACCAGAGCCTACTGCCTTAGGACACAAAAGAAAGAATTTCTACGTTGGAGGCAACACTCTCTCACCTTTTTTCTAATGTGGCAAAAGATGTTTAATTTATAACTAGGAAATACAGACTTTCTTTGACCTGTTCTTTCTTCCTATTCTATAAGATAAAACTAAGTGAATAAAACAATTCTAAGGTATAAATTGTCTTTCATTTCTTTGATTTTTGTCATAATGTTAATACTAAAATGACTGAATTTAAATCATAGCATATGTACACAGTCAGTGATTCCATTAAAATATTAAAAATCAAGAGTCTGTAACAGCAAAAGCAATTTTCATTTGTACAATACGTAAAAATAATCTAGTATTAGGTAAGATTGAACTTACATATAGCCATTGGTAGAAAAGATGTGCTAAGATATTCAATAATATCCTTGTGCAGAAATGGAGGAAAGGTAGCTAACGTTGAGATCATCGTGTAGGGCAAAGTACTCAGAATATCATCATTGAGAAAGGGTAGCAAACATGTAGTTGTATAAAATATTGACTGTCCAAGATCTACAAAACAAAATTGAGTAATCAGTCACTGAATATTTTCCCATTAACAAAATATACTAATTTTACATCTTAAGTTTTAATGAGTTGGTCTAAATTATAAGCAACTATAGTCTCCTTCCTATCAAGAGTTCTGAAACATACTGCTTGGTATAGTGTGCTATGTGTACARGAGCTGGTCAATAATTGACTGATGAATGAATATATTAAGAAATATAAATATCTATTACGTGAGGTTTTTCTCAATATCATATAAATCATAAGAAATTCTTAATATCCATATCATCTTTCGATCTCATAAATTCAAAGCACTTTCCAATGTAAAATGATTTCTGAATCCCTCCAGCATTCTTACCTCCATTTATTTTTACACAAGATAACTGAGGCATAGAGATGTTAGATTATTTGCCCCCTGAAAGTTTATAAAAGGTCACTGAGGTAGGAATAGAGATAATGCTAGGCTATTTCTGCTCCACCAATCAAAGCTACAATGGTTCTACAACTGGAATACTAGGCCACAAGGTAATTTTTAAGAAAATACMTTTATTTTATTTACTAATTTATTTTAGATGGTGCTGAGGACTGAACCCAGTGTCTCACATGTGCTAGGCAAGCGCTCTCCCACTGAGCTATAACCCCCAAACCCCATGAGGTAATTTTTAACCTCCATAGAGTAACAAATCCAGCACACACTAAAGAAAGGAAATTATGAGCTAGCACTGTGTGATCCTGTGCAGTTAGTCATCAGTCACCATAGAAGTGCGTGCCTCCTAATAATAACTTATCAAAGTTTTAAAATGGGGATAGTAGTAATACCTACCTCACTTCATTAGGATTGTTAGGAGTTTTAAATGTGATAAATGTAAAGAGGTTAGCATAGCACATAATGTGCAATCCACAAATAAGAGCTGTTACTATTAATGTTAACAGTTACTATTATTATTACCTGCACAAGAAGTAAAAATAGTGGACATTAGTAAAACCACAACTATTTAGCTTTAGAATGCATGTAGACCAAATTCCATTATACTAAATGTACATTTTCATATTTCTGGACCTCCCAAAATGTAGGCCATCAGCCAAGATTTGACAAATCATATTTGCATTCATAGAAATAGTAAAGTATTAGATTCTTGCCTGTTTTGCAGATTTACCTCCTTTGTGTCATTTTGATCCTGAATGTCATTTCTGATTATCATTAGAATTACTCTGGCATCTCAGCAGGCCTATCAACTGACAATGGAGAGAACATGGCCACACTGCATACTGGGGAGCCAGGATCAGTCAATCCCTGGGCTCAAATCAATGAAATGGAAAATTCACAGGTGTTTTACTAAGAGTTATCTGAGACTACCATAAAAGATAACCTTAGCTGCTTTCCACTGAGCCCTGTAGCCAAAGTGCAGAACATTAACAACCCAAGGGGTCTGGGAGTTCACCTAGAGTATTTTTTCATACTAGGAAACTGAGACCTGGAGAGAGGAAGCGAATGCCCAAGATCCACTGAGAATGTTAGCTGACATGTTACAAAAGCCCTACCTAATGCTTTTCCCTGCAGGGCCCCAGACCCAGAAAGAGGACACAACCTCCACCACAGTGCAGGATTCTCAGTCTCAGTGTGCAAAAGTAGCATCCACAGGAAGCTGGCTAAAATGTCAGGTCTCAGGACCCAACCTTCAATAACTCTTAGGCAAGAACTCCACGTCACAAACTCCTTGGAGATTCTGAGACTCTTCAGACAACACTCAGGTGTTTCTCTGAACCATTCACTAGAATGAACTAGTGAGTACTTTCCTATTTTTTAAGCTCAAATATGCAGAACAAGAAAGTTATAGATAACAATAAAGAGGAAAGTCACAAAACAGTTATAAGAGCAAAAATATAAATCATCTCCCTTGAAATTGTCACAATTCACACATTAATTGCAATTATATGGGTTGCAATTTACAAAATTGAATATCTTTATCTTAATCAAGGGACTTTGAAGATAAAGGGCAGCTTCCCAAACCCATGGACAGGAGCAGACAGGTCCGTGATGAGTTCAGAACTGAATGTCACAAAGGGGAGGCACTGAGGAGCTCACCACCATAGTAAGCTCTGACAGTCTGATGTTCACATTAGCCTCACTAAGATTCTGAGCTGGGAAAGGATTACAATAGAAGCAGCTAAGCTTTCAGACAGCCACAAAAATACACAATAAGTAACTTTACAAACTTCTACACTTTTATATTCACTATAATGCAGAATTAAAAATGTAAAAAAACAAATTCAATAATCATTATCTCATCATCTTTGTGAAAGTAGACATTATTTTTTTAAATCAGGGATACATCATACAAAATAAACCATTAAAGATTCTCTTAGGAGAATTAACTATAACTAAAAGGCAAAATAACTCCCACCGCCCACCAGTTTCCCAAGACTCCAGCTTTTCTGTACAGTGAAACTTTGGTTATCATACTTCTAGGGACCAAATTTCAGTATTTTAAGATCTACACAACTAACATTTTAAGGTACAGTTTCTGCAAAAAAATCTCTTTTCTTACTGTATGGTTTTCCATTTGATTCTCTCAAATACATATTAGATAGTTAACAGTAGATATTACTATACTCCCTTTTATAGATTAGAAGAATTTAATAGCAAGCAAGATAATGAAATCTACTGAAGACACAGAAGAAAGAGAGAAGCAATAAGAAAGGAAGCATGCTCTCTGACTTCTATGCTAAATCACCACTAACACTCTGTACTGTAACATTTTACAACATTTTGTAATAATTATTTGAAGTTCTTAGTAAATTTGGAAGTTCTTAGAAAGTTCATTTTATCTAACCCCCTGACTTTTGAGTCAGGAAAAATGGGTCTCAGAAAGAGTTTGTGATTTGTCCCCAAAACTCAAAAAATCAATCAGTGGTTAGAATCTGCTCCTCAAAGCAAATTTTAAAATCTTAGCTCCCCAATTGTGATTTCAATGAGTCCTCACTGAGTCCTCCCTTGATAAAGTAATCAAAGGAGAAGAGAGAGCCTCCCGAGAGTCTTCCTCCTGTCTCCAGCCCCTCTGCCCCCAACACAGGCCTGCTGGGTAATATCCCTGAGCACCACAACAGTGTAAAAGGATAGGATGGGAAACACCATAATTAAGCTTCATTGTAAGAAAGGCTGCAGCCCACACAAAGCCCTTTCAAGCAATTTACATCAACAACAAAATCTCCATGCCCCGTGCTCAGCATCATACATATTCATGAACATACATGTACATTTCCAAAAGTTTCAATTAAATGCTCACCATGTTGGCCATGCTGTAGTAAAGGAACTAGATCCAGGAGAGTCACCAAAGTCACGTAGAGGCCTTGATAGTCCAAAGAAGGGTAGTCTGACAACTGAGCATCACGACTTTGCGGGCCGCGTTCTGAAGGAGCATCTCGCAGGACGCTGTAAAGGAGGGAGCGAGTAACAGTAGGGTTGATGGAACTGACCTGCGGTCTTAGAGATGGGGTGAGTGGGAATGGCACAGGAAAAAGACACATGGTCATGGGCACTGTCAAATTGGAGGCATCTTGGTTTTCCTTCTTCCCTGTGCGGGACAAAATGCTGTTGGGGGGACAAAGAAAAAAAAGAGACAACAAAGACACAAAGAACAGCACATTACATTGAAATGACACTCTAAAACAAATAATAAAACACCAGATACATCCCACATAAGATGCAATTGCCACACCAGCAGGATCTACAAATCTAGTACTGGTCACATAGCTTTGCTCAGAGGTACCAATAACACAGGTTTACTTTGTGGAAGTTTCATTGCATCTCATGTGTTATCTGGTTAGTAAGGAGCAAAAATATAAAAATGCATGTTTCAGTGCCAAACCCATGTTTTACAGTTTGTCAATTTGGTGAAGGAGAGGTTTCCTGGAAGTAAAAGCAATGGCTTTGTCTAATTAGGAAGGGCTCTTATTCCTAATTACAAGGAGCTTTCAAAGAAAAGAAGTTTTCAGCAAGACCGTCTGAACCAAGCAAACAGAAACTTGCAAAACATAGGTATGGCACTTGCAGAAACATGTTTTAGCAAAGAATAAACATGTGTGTTTATTAAGAAAGTCTTAAAAATCACATGTTTATTGCACCAAAATAATGTCTATATGTATATTATGATACTGTTTCATGACATTCTGTCAGTATCATTTGAGATAATGAAGTTTAAACAGGCATATGAATTTAGAAATAATACATATTTCTAAAATGTTAGCTAAACTACATTGGAAAAGCTATAAAATAATATATAGTAGATGGTCCATAGCATATGTTTGTGAACTAATGATAATGGTTATTTATGTGTGTGTGTGTTTTAATTTTGTGTGTTGGGGAGGAAACAATTTATTTTTATGAATACAAACACTGGCTTATTAAATAATTACCTTCAAAATTCTAAAGACTAAGCAAGCAGTATCTGTCACATAGCTGCCCAACATACAATAAGATCTCATATGTTACTACTGCTACTTACGTTATTATTCAACAAAACTCTAAAAACTAAAGGAAAGATAATTTAGAAAGTTAAAAAAAGTTTAATGGGAATAAAAATAACTTCTAAAAATGGTTTTCCTTTTAGCCTTAATTTTAAAATAAAAATGTTTTAGTTAAAGCAGAAAAGTTGTTGATTTAAAAAAAAAAGAAATTACTGCTTAGCCAAATATTTACGTTTTTAAGACTAGATTATACTATTTATCACTAAAGATAATATCTACACATTATAATAATGTCTGCAGCACTTACAATGTGCTTTTCACTTATGCTTGTCCACTTACATTAGTCAAAACAGATAACAATTTATAAATGTTTCATTACATAAAATGACCTTATTTTACATTTATTCTATGCACATTAAACATGGCTAAGATTTTAGTTAGATATCACATCTATAGTTTTACAGTGATGTG